AGGGTAGCGATTCTTCTCAGGTGGTGCAGACCTCGGCTTGTAGCTACGCGTCGCTACTCCGCGACCCTCGTCATTCTGAATGACAGGAGCTTCTTCGTTGGCGGCGACGAGGAGAGATGGTTGTCGCCCTGGAGAACTCTGGTGGGGCCTTAGCCCGGAGACGAGATGAGATGTAGGCCGGAGCTCGTGAAGATCTGTGGTGGAGCCGAAGATGGGCTCGTAGCCCGGATGATATGTGTGTTGGAGCCGAAGCCCGGACGATATCTGTGATGGGGGCCAGAGCCCCTGACGATCTCTGTGATGGGGGCCAGAGCCCCTGACGATCTGAGTTGTATGGATTTTCCTTCGGTTTATATCGGAAAATTCCACTCGGCTTCCCGAGTTGTTCAAAAGCTGTGTCATAAAACCTTCCTGTGGGGGTGGACCATCTGCGTCCGTGTGTGTGTCCGTCCGTGTGTTTCGCGTGCGTGTTTGTCCGTGTATTTCGCGTGCGTGTTTGTCCGTGTTGTGGGGAGACAAAGGCGGTTGTTTCCACGGTGGGAGCACCCGGCGCATGCGCTTATTTATTCGAAGACGTGTTAATTTCCTTTGAGCCATTGCCCCCTTTATGGGTGTCATTTCCTAGCTTTGTGCCTGCGTGTGGAGATCCTCTCGGAAAGACAAAGGCGGCCGTGTTGCTCGCTTCCCATGGGTTGTTGTGTTTGGTTAATTTTGAGAGCCTTCTCCGCCCTTGATTCCTCTTCTACTTTAATTCCGTACTTATTATTTGACTTCTTGTGATCATTTAATCTGATATCCCGGCTAGGAATTTTGTTTTGGAGCGAAATCGATGCCATAATTATTATTTGATGCTTCGGCCCGGCCGTGTAGATATTCTTTAAAGGTAAATAATGTCAGTATTTATTAACAATGATGGGTCGCGATTCTGGTTCAGATTGTCGTCTGGTTTTCAATTGGAGTGAGGATGGATACTGTTTGCTTAATCTTTATGGTTAAGTTGGTAACTTGTGTATTTAACATGGTTCAAAGACCCATCTGTGCTTTTTGTCGTCGATGCTGTTTCTTTGTTAAGAATATAATTATCTCTTCCTCCGTGTCTCCTGGTTCTGCAACCCCCCGCCTGCAATTCCCCCCCTCCCTTGTTCCTCTTGTGTGAATTTAGGGGAGTTTTTTTTTTATTACCTTATTGCCCCCCCTTTCATGTCCTCTCTCCTTTGAAATGAGGTATGCGCGCATCTGTGGAAGTGTGGGGGCCTCTGTGGAAGTGTGGGGGCGTGTTCGTTCCCACGTGGCCGCGTCTATTAAAAAAAACTATATTATCTATGTTGGCAGAATAATTCTTAAAAAAAAAATAATATTAAAAAAAAATAAAAAGGGGGTACATACACAACACGTGTCGTGTCAGAACCGGTCCTGGGCCTCACCTAGGTCGACTCAGCCTCAAATGAGTACCTGGTGCGGTGTGTGAACATCGCCACTGGGGATACAAAGGCGCCCGGGCGTGGTGCTGGCCACCCACCCCCTCGTGTACCGTGCCGGCCTTCATAGGTGCTCGCTAACAGCACCCTACAGTCTGTTAAGGCTATACGGGGCATCTTAGTCTCTTGTAGAGTTGTTGTCATGTTTGTGCAGAGGATACAATGGGAGTGGTGGCGCAGTGCTTAGCGCACTCTACCAGTTCAGATGACGTCTGCGGGCCAGGAATCCCAACTCGGGTGAGTGGATTCGTACAGCGCAGTTGCGCCAACCGCTGCGCCACCGCTCTCCCTTGGAAGGTCGTGTAGGAAGGTCGTGTTTGGAAGGAAGGCCGGGCTCCTACAGGGGCGAGTGTGAGAGGAGAGAGAGGGGGCACGCATATGGCATTGACGTGAGCGTGCGCGCGTGTTGCGCTCGATGCCAACCAATGTCTGCTGCTGGACACGACGAAAGGGCTTCAGCAGAGAGAGAAGAGAACGTTTGTGTCGTGTCGCTGTTTCCACCTCCTCTGTTGAAGGAGCGCAGCGGGTTAACTCTGCGGTCCGTAGCTTGGGTCGCGTGGCTACCTCAACGCTGTGGCTTCTCTTGAAGACATCTCCGTGTGTATTTATCTCGACGAGTCTCTGTGCATCTCTGTATACGAGACTCTGCCTGCCACCGTGTGTCTCTGTGGGTTAACTCTGCGGTCCGTAGCTTGGGTCGCGTGGCTACCTCAACGCTGTGGCTTCTCTTGAAGACATCTCCGCGTGTATTTATCTCGACGAGTCTCTGTGCATCTCTGTATACGAGACTCTGCCTGCCACCGTGTGTCTCTGTGGGTTCACTCTGCGGTCCGTAGCTTGGGTCGCGTGGCCACGGTGGGACTATTTGCGGCTTGTATCGTTAATTTAGCAACCTACGTGGCCAACCGTGTTCATCGGCGGTGCGGACCGCGACGACATTAAACGGAACCACGGCTTAAGTCGGCTTAACACGTGGCAGGCTTTCGCGACCCAATATCATCCACAATACAGGTTTTTTTGGGGGGGGTTAGATTGCGTAAATATATGCTGCGTATTTGGAGTTTACGTGGTCGCGTGGATTTATCTCCGCGTCCTCTGTTTTTTTCCCTCCACATTTAGGAGCACGCCTTTAGCGGATTTGCCTCGCCGCTACATTTGCACGTGATGGAGAGGCGAGACTGCGTCGAGCTATCAGTTGTGGCCAGGTCGTTTCTGTCAAAGAGGCTTACCTGGTAAAACAAATAAAAATGTTAAATGAAATCAAATAATATTCATGGTTCTTTCGGTAAAGTCACGTAGAAGGGAAAAAATAAAATAATATAAATATAAAACAATAAAAATTCTCACGACGTTTCGACTGCAACACAAGCAATCATCATTAGGTGATGATTTCCCTTCTACGTGACTTTATCGAAAGAACCAAGAATATGAATCCTGCAGTCACGAAAGGTTTAAATCGAAATCAAATAAATGAAAAAGCAATGAATTAACTTGCATCTTTATTACAATTAATGATGGAAGAATGGCGGCTGCTACGCTATTCCAATGCAACGGGGCCTGACGCTCCACGCGGGGTGAGAGACTTCGTGATTCCTCCTCCGGAGCGGTGGTCCTGGGCCTCCCCTAGGTCGACTCAGCCTTAAATGGGTACCTGTTGGGGCTGTGTTTAACCTCGGTCTCGGAGACACAAAGGTGGCCGGCCGGACGTGGCGCTGGCCACCCCTCGTGTGCCGTGTCGGCCTTCATAGGTGCTACTCGCCAACAGCACTTGCACCCGACTGTCTGATAAAGGCTACACGGGGGGGGAGGGGGATCTTTATCCGGTTGTGTTTGCCGGCAAACAGCGCTTGGTACAGAAAAGTTTCAAACTTGACCTCACTTCGCGTTTAGCTGCCCACCACCAGGTATGGAATTAACCCAGCAGCTGTCCGCCCGCCCGTCCGTGTCTGCGTGTGCCCGTCCGTGTGTGTGCGTGTGTGTGCATGTGTTTGTGTGCGTGTGTGTGCGTGCGTGTGCGTGCGTGTGCGTGTGTGCGCGTGTGCGCGTGTGCGCGTGTGTGCGTGTGAGTGTGTGTGGGTGTGTGTGTGCGTGTGCGTGCGTGTGCGCGCGTGTGCGTGTGCGAGTGTGCGCGTGCGTGCGCGTGCGTGTGTGTGCGTGTGCGTGCGTGTGTGCGTGTGCGCGTGTGTGCACGTGTGTGCGTGCGTGTGCGTGTGTGCGCGTGTGCGCGTGTGTGTGGCGCGTGTGCGTGTGTGCGCGTGTGCGCGTCCCGCCTCCCCGCAGTGTGGAGTGGGGAAGCGGTGCACTGTGGAGCGGCCTCTGAGCGAGCTGCACATGCACAGCAGCAGAGACAAGTCCGGTGAGCGCCGAGCGCGGGGCGTTGACGTGGGCTGAGCTGAGCGTCTGTGTGCCCTGCGGTTTTCGATTTAAAGCTTCTTTCGTGACTGCAGGGACTCATCTTCTTGGTTCTCTCGGTAAAGTCACGTAGAAGGGAAATACTAAAATAATAAAAATAAAACATAATAAAACAATTCTCACGACGTTTCGGCCACAATGCAAGCAGCCGTCCTCAGGTGAAGAAACAGACTCTGTCTTCTCGACAGACCTGGTCTTCACCTGAGGACGGATACTTGCGTTGTGGCCGAAACGTCGTGAGAATTATTTGATTATGTTTTATTTTTATTATTTTATTACTTCCTTCTACGTGACTTTACCGAAAGAACCAAGAAGATGTGTGCCCTTCGTTGCTGTTTTGCGCTCTCAGTCGCCATGACGCCTCCCGTATGTTCGGCAGCCCCAAAGATTTTTCCTCACTGGCCCAGTTTGGTGTTTTTTGGATCCAGCTCACGATGGGCCAACTAGATTGCGCGTCGCCACATCACAACGGCGAGCTACGAGTGCCGCACAGTTTGTCACACAGACTATTGAACTCAACTTAAATGCCATTGGGACCTCATTTGCCAGTAGAAAAATATGATAATTGTTTTTTTACCCTTTTATGTGGCAACAAAACTTGTCAGATAAAAGGTACAGTGCATACATTATCAGAGTTATGTTTTTGTTTGCATTACGACTGCAGGTATTGTTGTCTATGCAACATGACTCCTTGTGAAAAAGGTGTCAGTTTTGTTGCCAGATAAAAGGGTAAAAAAAATATTATCATAAACTTAAATAACTGCCCGTATCCCGAATTTGGCCCGGTGTGTTTACGAATGGCCGGGCCGATGTTAGTCCCAGTCCACCATCACTGAAGACGCTGAATGTTTATTTGTTTATTGACGTAATCACCGTCGCCTTCTCAAGCCCTGGGGCTCTCGACCACCGAAAGCCGGGCCACGTAGGCCTCAGTTGTCGTGTGAGTTCTTCGATCCTTCGGACCGGAGACCACTTGAAGTGGTCTCAGAAGTGGCTCGTGATCATCTCGCCGCCACCACCACCGCACAGACAACCGGCGCGGCTCCACCTCGTCCGCGTTCCGCATCTCATCTTCCTTCCTCTCGTTCCGCAGACGACCTCGGCGGCGGCTCAGACGCGCGGACGTCCCCGGTCGGGCTCGCCGACCTCGTGACCTCCGCCCCGGGTCGTGACCCCGACCCGCATTTCCACTGCGACCTGCGCTCGCGGGACAGCTCCGAGGTGTACCGCTACCCGAGCCCGCTGCACGCCGTCGCCATGCAGAGCTCCGCATTCCTGCACCGGCGAGGCGCCGGCGACGACCGCGACGCCGCCGCGTCGCCCGACGGAAAACCTCCTCCGATGAGCGATGGCGCCCGCCGCCACCGTCGCCACGACGACGCCGGCGCGGACGACGAGGTGACCGCGACCGTAGCGGCGCCACTCGGCGCCGACAAGGCGACCGCCTACATCGCCGCGCTGCTGCAGAGGCGCGAGAGGAAGGCGGAGGCTGCCCGCGCCAACCTGAGCGTGCGGTATGAACCAGCAGTGCCCGTCCCGGCGGCCACGGCGTACGGTGTCGGCGGCGGGGCGGGCGGCGCGGTGGGCTCGGCGGTGGGCGGCGGCGGCGGTGCGCTGCCCGCGCTGGTGCGGCCCGCGTCCATCGCTCACTATGACACCTCGCGCCGCCACCACGACGACGATGACGACGACGGCCATGACGGCGGTGACGATGCCGAGCGGCGGTGGAGAGCGTCTGGCCCCCACGTCCATCCTGGCGCCGGCGATCGTCGCGGGAAATCGCCAAACCTGCAGCAGCAGCAGCAGCAGCAGTCCACCAACGGGGAGCACGAGTTCCGGCGCCGCGCCCTGACCTCCGTCTCCACGGACCTGCGCCCGCAGCGCGGCGCCGGCCGGTGGAGCGCGGCGGCCGAGCCAACGGCCGGCGCCCTGGGCTGGCGGCCGGGCGAGCTGGGCGGGCCCCGGTACCAGCAGCGGGAGGCGCGCATCTGCAAGCTCGGCCACGGCAGCTGGGCCGGCTCCCTGCACAAGTCGGCGGACCTGCGGGGCGGCCACGGCGACGACGGCGACAGCGCCTCCTCCGACCACCGACGGCACCCGAGGAACGCAGCTCGGTCGTCGTCGCCCAAGGGGCACCGGCTGCGCGAGGGCGTGGAGCTCGTGCGGCAGCGCTTCCGCTTGCCGGGGCGGCGCCGGCGGGGAAGGCGCCAGCTCCGAGCCGGACGTGTCGGGCGGTGGACGCCAACTAACGGAACGGGAGGAGGTTGCGGGCGGCTCGTCGGTGTTCGATTGCCGCCGGCGATTGGTGCCGCATCCGTCCGAGATCCGCGGCATCGGCGCCGGTGCCGCGGGGACCGGAGCCGATGGATATCGGCGGTGGTGGCTGGTGGAGGTGCCGGTCGGTTCGTGTTGGTAAACGGTGAATTCCCAGGTCCTGTTCGGACACCACTCGCCACTGACGCTGTCCGTGACCAGGGATCTGACTCGGGTCAGATTCCTGGTCACAGTGCGCTGACTGCTGTGTGGGGGGGGGGTTCACAAAGCCATCGATATCTCACGCACGTGATCCCGCGTGTGTTTCATGAGCCTTCACAATCGACGTTGAGCCATTGGTCCGTATCGTTTTTAACTGTTACAGCTCCTCCGGGAAAGTTCGATCATCAAAATAATAATCATCACCAGGTGTGGTGAAAACCACACCTGATGATGGATTCGTTTTAGCGGCGAGCCCAATCGTGTTTTGATTTTGTTGTTGTTGTTGTAACTTTCTGACGTGCCCCAGAGAGCTACCAAGAGAGAGCTTGACAGCTCGTAGAATCCCGCCAGTGTTTATAAATATTACAATTCTGATAGCCAAGCACAATCCACCTTCAATCGGCAGCTCGATGTGCACCTGTTGAGGCTCTCACCTGTCCGGGCTGTTGACGTACGAGAGACAGAGGTCGCAAACGGGTTTTGATTCCTTACCCGTACCCGTACCCGGCCGCACCAGGGTCGCAAATGGATACCCGCACCCGTACCACCGCTCCTCTCCACGATGGAGACCGCTCTACACAGAAACCTGTTTCAAGTGTTCAGGCGTCATTGACGCTCGCCCGGTGGAGCGGTGGCGCCGCGGTTTCAGCGCATTTGCGTTCTGGACCCGGAGAGCCGAGTTCGATTTCCCGAACAGACACTGGAACATGAGCGGGACAGAGGCGTGACATCTTGCACGCGCTGCGCCTCGCCCACCCGCGGGCAACTGGCAATAGCCAGAGGGGCCTCCGCTGCGTGGGCATGGAGAAGGAATGGAACGTGAACACGGCGCAGTTGTGGTCTGGGCCGAGCACGAGACTTCGAAGCGATTTGGCAACAGCGCTCGCGTCGAGCCCAGGGTCTCTCGTGCTGGACGAGAGTTGTCGGCTTCGATGCTCGTGTGCGGAGACACCGAGGCGAGGGGTGTAAGTAGCCGACATTTGGTAAACATGGCACGGGAACAAATGGCACACGTGGACACCGGGACACAAACATTTCACGATGAAACAGGACTCTACTAACAGTTAAAAGTGGTGTGCTAACAGTTATAAGTACTGTACTGACGGTTGTATACAGATATGAATGAAAGAGTTGATTCATCCCAAACCCCGAACCTGTTTCATTGTGCCTTCTTTCTCTCCAGAATTGATCACTCGTGCCATTTTTTCTTCCTTTACCAGTTTTACCTGTGACATTTTTATCTGTTTTACCTGTGCCTAGGTGCCTTCTTCCAATAAATGTTTTTGGAAAAAACCGTGAAACTCAATCAATGGCTGTCTATCTCTCACTCTTCGTGTATCTCTCTCCGTGTCTCTCTCTCCGTGTCTCTCTCTCCGTGTTTCTCTCTCTCCGTGTCTCTCTCTCTCTCCGTGTCTCTCTCTCAGTCTCTCTCTCTCCGTGTCTCTCTCTCTCCGTGTCTCTCTCTCTCCGTGTCTCTCTCTCCGTGTCTCTCTCTCCGTGTCTCTCTCTCCGTGTCTCTCTCTCAGTGTCTCTCTCTCCGTGTCTCTCTCTCTCCGTGTCTCTCTCTCCGTGTCTCTCTCTCCGTGTCTCTCTCTCTCTCTCTGATCCGGCCGTACATATACTAAAATTGGAACGATACAGAGAAGATTAGCATGGCCCCTGCGCAAGGATGACACCCAAATTCGTGAAGCGTTCTCTCCGTGTCTCTCTCTCTCTCTCTCCACCTGTTTGGGTGCGGCCGCACGAACCTGTTGCTCCCGCTCCAACGTTGGTGTGGATGGAGGCCTGGGCTCACGTGATAGCCTGAGCCTAGGCTGAGAGAGTGCCCACGCGTTTATAGACGCTTTACCCCGCTTTTTTTTCGTTTATTGAGTCGTCGTGTTCAACATCCTTCTCTTCCTTCACTGTGAGTTCTCCGTTTCTTTCACGTGGTGCTGGTTTTATTTGTTTTGTGTGTTTTTCTTCCATCCCTACGGCACCACGAGCAGCCTTGGGCCTGCTGTGGCTGCCTCTCTCACCCCCCTCTCTCTCGGTGTGTCTCTCTTTCTGTGTCTCTCTGTTTTTCTGTGTCTCTCTCTCTGTCTCTCTCCTTCTGAGTCCCTCTCGGTGTTTGTCTCTGTGTGTCTCTCTCTCTGTGTCTCTCCCCCCCTCCGTGTATCTCTCTCTGTTACCCCCCCCCCCCCCCCGTGTCTATCTCTGTGTCTCTCTCTGTGTCTCTCTCCCTCTCCGTGTCTCTATCTGTGTGTCCCTCCCCCGTGTCCATCTCTCTGTGTCTCTCTCCCCCCTCCGTGTCTCTCTCTCTGCGCCCCCCCCCCCCCCCGTGTCTGTGTGCTCTCTCTCTGTGTCTCTCTCCCTGGTCTCACTCACTCACTCGCAGCACTCTCTCTTTCTCTCGTGTGGGTTTCCTTTGTTCTTTTTTCTCACTCTTTCTTTCTAGTGAGTTCCTCCTTGGTTTCACGGGTCTTGTGGGTTTAGGTGGGTCTTTATGATTTTTTGTGCATTTATTTATTTTCCCCTCCAATTTATTTGGGGTAGTGCAGCCGCGTTTTGCACGCTAGGGTGCTGTCGCCAAGCATCATGGCACAGTACCCCAAGCTTTAAACCCTCTCGCGAAGGAACGGCGTGATGGTGTTCCCCCCGCCCGAGATCACCGTTGAGGCCGTCGTCGCGGCGGCGGCTGAGGTCATTGGCATGGCGGGCATCCTCGTTAGCGAACGGGAAAATCACGGGGTCGTCCTTTATACGGCGGAGGAGGCCATGGTGGCGCGCCTTGCAGAGACGGAGCAGGACGTGGGGGGGGAGCTGTTTTTACAGTGCACCCCCCTCTCCTCGCCTGCCGTGAAGGTGCTCCTCTCCGGCGCGCCGCCATTCCTGAAATGTGCGGACCTGCAGCGGGACCTCCTCCGCTTAGGCACCGTAGTGTCCCGCGTCATCATGTTGCCATTGCGGACGAGGGACACGAGGATGGCACATGTAATGTCGCTGCGGCGACAGACATTTATGATATTGAAGGACGGCAATACAGAACTCAACGTGACCCTGAAGTATACCATCGAGGGACACGTTTACACCGTATACGCCTCCACGGCTGTACAGCGTTGCTTCGGCTGCGGCGGCGTCGGCCACACCCGGAGGAGCTGCCCGACCAAGGGCAAGGAGAACGTTGCTCCACCCGTGCCGGCGCACGCTGAGCAGCGGCAGCAGCAGCAGCAACAACAGCAGCAGCAGCAGCAACAACCACAACAACGGCAGCAGCAACAACAACAGCAGCAGCAACAGCAGCAGCAGCAACAACCACAACCACAGCAGCAACAGCAACAGCAGCAGGAACGCGCTGACCCTGCGCCTGGCCGCGCAGAGCCGGCGCCTGAAGGCGACAAAGATGGCTTCGTGCTAGTTAGGTCATGAAAGCGAAAAGCCAAAGCCAGCCGAGCAGAGGGGGGGTGCGACGGCACCTTTCCAAAGCGGGCGGGCACCGCTGGCGGCACCACCGAGCCGGACGGCTGCCCAGAAGGGGCGGCAGGGAGCGGCAGTGAGGGCACGGCGGAGAACGCGGTGAGCACAGCCGCCGCCGCCGCCGGCGGCCAAAACCACCCGCCGGATGCGACCGAGGCAGAGGGACGACCACCGGACCCAGCCGCGGCCGCACCGGCACGAGCAGAGGAGCGACTGCGGGCCACCGTCGCGCCTGAGGGCGCAGCGCCACCCGAGGGGACCGCCCCATCGCTCGGCGGGGCGACGACCACGGATCCCGCGGACGAGGCACGCCCCGAGCAGGGTGAGACCCCGGCTCCTTGCAGCGCAATGGAAGAGATGGCGGTCACACCCGAGGGGGACGACGACGTTCTACCCGCCTCGACGTGCGACGGGGAGGGGGCCGCGGAGGCCACAGAAGGAGAGCACCCCGAGCCTGGCGAGACCCCGGTTCCGCCCGGGTCGTCGGAGGAAGTGACGGCCGGAGTACGCGCCGACACACACGGGGACTCTGACGACGAAGAGCAGTCGGGGTCCGACGTCGACGACGAAGGAGCCAGTGAAATGTTTTTTTCGGGAGTAGGAGGGGAGCGGGAGTACGTACCCGAAACCGTCCAAAGCTTCCTCCAATCGTCCTTCAGGAAGCGTCGAGTCAGCGTCCAAGCGAGCTTCCCCGATGTGATGGGCTTCCTGAACACCGCACAAAATATACAACGGGACCCCAATAAATGCGGCTTCAGCCAGCAGAAATGCTACCGGTTGCAGAAGTTTGTACAAAAACTGAGGAAGGGGTGCACCCCCCTTCCGCAGTGACCACCGGTGGCACCCACCCCCCCCCCCCTATTGCAATGGCGTCAGGCGTCCGCGTGGCGAGTCTGAATTGCAATAGTGCTCGAAGCGATGAGAAATGGAGACGCATGTGTCGTTTTCTTGTCGACCAAAACGTCGAAGTGGCGCTCCTACAGGAGACACACCTCGATGCCACGCTGCAGGCTCAACGACAACACCTCATGGGCGGCCGGTTCTTCTTTAGCCACGGGGAGGCCAACCGGGGGGGGTCGCGATTGTGTGCGGCAAAAAATTCACTCCTGACCATGTGACCTTTAGGGAGATCGTGAAGGGACACCTGATTACGGCCGAGTTTGTGCTCGGCGACGTCAGGCTGCGGGTAGTCAACGTGTACGCACCGAGCGCGAGCCGCGAGAGGGGGCTCTTCTTCTCGGGCGCACTGAGGGACACCCTGGACGAAGCCGACTCGGACGAGGTGCTCACGATCGTCGGGGGTGATTTTAATTGCACCCTCGACCCGACTCTCGACCGTAATGGCGCCGAGCCTCACCCGGAGACTGCGCAGGCATTGGCTGACATAGTACGGAGGCTAAACCTACTCGACACGTGGCACCTGCAACATCCGGCCCAGCGGCAATATACGTGGTGCCGGTGTGGTGCACAAGGGCGGATTAGCCTCGCACGGCTGGACTGACTCTACGTGAATGCCGACGGTGCTAACCTGCTCGGCGAAAGCAGGGTGGTCCCGTCCGGTTTTTCCGACCACCACCTGGTGTCGGTGCGCTTGCGTCTCCCCCTTCTTGGGCACCGCAGACCCTACTGGCGTTTTAACCTGCAACTCTTAGAGAATGCGGACTTCCAGAGAGCTTTCAGGGCCTTCTGGAAGGGGTGGCTAACACAAAAGGGCAACTTTGACACGCTCCAGCAATGGTGGGATAATGGGAAGGTACAGATAGGGTCACTATGCCAGCGGTTTATGAGCCAGCACGCAGCAGCTAGGCGGGAATGGGAAGAGCGGTTACGGGATGAGTTGCTGGCGCTGGAAGCAGAGCTGGGCTCACCCCAAACTAATGCGGATTACCGCACGCTCTTGGAGCAGCAACGGCTGGTGAGGTCTGTGTCAGACCGGGAAGCCTATAAGGCCTTTGCGAATCAGAGAATGCAACATCTGCTAAAGATGGATGCGCCTACCAAATCATTTTTCAGGCAACAGAGGCAGCCAGTCACCAAAAACCTTATTTCCAGCCTGCAGGCACCGAGTGGTGAAGTCCACACGAGCGACGAGGGCATCGCTAGGGTCGTTAGGGCTTTTTACCAGGATCTGTTTACTGCAGAAAGCATCCAGGGGGATGCTCTTGGGGAATTGTTAGAGGGTGTGCCTAGACTGACCCCTCCCGAGATGGAACAGCTGGAAGGGCTGATCACCCTCCAGGAACTGGAGGCTGCGGTGAGTGGCCTAGCTACTGGGAAGGTGCCTGGGATCGATGGCCTCCCAGCCGAGTTCTTCAAAGCTTTTTGGGGTGAGCTCGGCCCTTCCCTGGTCGAGGTGCTGAATGCGAGTCTAGCAAAAGGGGAGTTGCCGCAGAGTTGCAGGAGAGCAGTGGTTACCCTGTTGCCCAAGAAGGGGGACTTGCGCCTCGCAGCGAACTGGCGGCCGGTGTCCGTGTTATGCACGGACTATAAGATCGTCGCAAAGGCGTTGGTTAACCGGTTGAAGGGCGCGGCGGGGAGGATCATCCAGCCGGAACAGACATGCTGTATCCCGGGGCGGTCTATCCATGATAACATCGGGGTGGTCAGAGACGTGATCGACCTGGCAGACACCCATGGACTGGACACCGGCCTCCTTTTTCTCTATCAAGAGAAGGCTTTTGACCGAGTCAGCCACGACTACATGTATGCGGTGCTAAGGTCTTTTGGGTTTGGCCAGGGATTTATTGCGTACGTGAGGCTCCTCTACACAAATGTGTCCAGCCTCCTCAAGCTGAATAATCGGCTCCGTGCCCCCCTGGTCGTTACGAGGGGTGTTAGGCAGGGATGCCCACTCTCGGGGCTGCTCTATGCGCTCTGCATCGAGCCGCTATTATTAACGCTGAACCGGACCCTGTCGGGCTTCCTTATCCCTGGGACGGAAAATGCTGCGGTAAAGGTCTCGGCGTACGCGGACGACGTGTGCGCGGTGGTCAACGACGCGAGAGACGTGGCGGCGGTGCACAGGGCGGTCGGCCTCTACGAGAGCGCCTCCTCCGCAAAGGTGAACTGGCCAAAGTGCGAGGCGCTGTGTCTGGGGCCGCGGGGGACGATGCGCGCCGTGACGCTCCCAGGGGGGGTGGAGTGGGGCACGGAGGGCACCAATTACCTGGGGGTGTACCTGGGTAACCCGGCCACTGTGGCCAGGAATTGGGAGGATGTGGCGGAGAAGATTGGAGGGAGGTTGCAGGCGTGGGCCCGTTTCGCTCCGCAAATGTCGTACAGGGGACGGGTCCTCGTCGTAATAACCTGGCGGCGGCCATGCTGTGGCATAAGGCCAGAGTCCTCCACCCCCCAGACTGGCTGTTGACGAAAGTACAGAGGGCTTTCACCGCCTTCGTCTGGCACGGAAGGCACTGGCAGAGGCCGGGGGTCCTCTGTTTGCCAGTGGAGGAGGGAGGCCAGGGCCTAGTGAGCGTCGCCAGCAGGGGTGATGGCGTTCAGGGTCCTGGACATAAGGCGCCTGCTGTATGAGCCGGAGGAGCAGCCCTGGAAGGCCCTGGCCCTCGGCTTGCTGAGACAGGCCGGAAGGCTTGGGTACGGCCGCGAGCTCTTCCTGACGGACCTGGGGCTGGTAGACCAGTCGCCGCTGCCGAGGTATTATCGCAGCCTGCTAGATGCTTGGCGTAGTCTTGAATGGGAGAGGGCGCCCGCGGACTATGATGCGAGCCTTTTTCTGCGGGAGCCGCTACTCGCTAACGACCTCTTCCAGGGCCTGAAGGGGGAACGCACCCTGGCCGCGCGGTTTGTTGCCGGAGGGGTGAGCAGGGTCAGCGACCTGGTGGACCCTAGCCGGCGAAGGTGGAGAACGGCTCTGGAACTCTCAGAAGCGGCCGGGCTGCACTCCATGCTCGCCGGGACCAAACTGTTGCGGGAAGTCCTGCGGGCGATGAAGAGACTCGGAGTGGGGCTGGGAGAGTCGGGCGACAGGGAGGGACCCTCCTTCCCCCAGCTGACCTTCTCCTGTGCCGTCCCCTCTGATCGCGAGGAGGAAAATTATTAAAGATGGAGAACAGCAGGAGTGTCTCGCTGGCGGAAGTCCACAAGAAAAAGCTCTACACCGCCTGCGTAAAGGCGCTGCACTTCCGGGACTTGGAGGAGCTGCCAGACACGAAGTGGAGGGGATATTTCTCTGCCCTGACGGACGCTGGCCCCCAGTGGCGTGATATGTACCGGCCCCCCACTGCCAAAAGATGTGGCGACCTCCAATGGAGAGTAGCGCACTGGACTGTGCCGTCGGCGGTGTGGGTCAGCCGGGCCGTGCCGGGAGCTCCGGACACGTGCGCATTTTGCGGACTGAGGGAGGACCTGGCCCACCAGTTCCTCAAATGCAAGAGGCTCGCCCCGCTGTTCAGTTTCCTGGCGGGGGTGTTCGGGAGACTGGGCACCCCGTTTTGCGAGAGCGGCTTTGTGTACGGAGTGACCGGGACGGGGGGCGACAAGCGGCACGTCGCGAACTTTGTGTGCGCCCAGGCCAAACTGGCGATCTATACGACCCGGAAGCGGAGGCTGGAAGGCGGCAGCGGTAGCTGTGGAGTGCTGGCGATGGTGCAGGCCCTCATAAAGGCGCGGCTCGAGTTAGAGTTCGCCTATTACGGTCATGCCGAGGGGGAGAGTGACTTTTTGAAGAAATGGGGGTGCGCCAAAGACGCTCTGTGTACAGTTGTGCAGAATGCACTGATCTACACGTTTTGACCCCCCCCTCACCCCCCCCCCCCCCCCCCCCCCCGTTTCTTGTCCAGTCGTGCGGGACTGACACCGCTGTTCGCTTTGTGGTGATTGTCACTGAGACTGAACGCATTTAATTTGTCACTGGTTGCAGAAATGGTTGCTTCCGAGTGGCTTACAAGGCACAGCAATATTCCAGCGCAATTTGCGCTGGGGAAATAAAGTTTTCAAAAGTCAAAGTCTCTCTCTGTCTCGCTCTCTGTCTCTCTCTGTCTCTCTCTCCTCGTCTTCACTGTCGCTGCCCGTCGGAGCTCGGCGTCTGCGGCTCCTCTCCTAGGTGGGCGTCCCCGGCCCGAACGCTCGCAGGAAGCCCTCCTGTGTGGCAGCAGAGAAACAGAACGGAAAGAGAGCCCCACCATCATCATCACCGAGGTGTAAATGCTCTGCTGATATGCGTGGCATTGTCCTTGTGCTGGTCGCCTTTTGGCGTTGTTCTCTGATCTGATACTGGTGGTGAGTCACTGGGTAGAGAGACACTGGGGTGGTGAGTCACTGATACAGAGACACTGGGTAGTGAGACACTGGGTAGTGAGACACTGGGTAGTGAGACACTGGTACAGAGACACTGGGTAGTGAGACACTGGGTAGAGCGACACCGGGTAGTGAGACACTGGTGGTGAGTCACTGGTACAGAGACACTGGGTAGTGAGACACTGGGTAGTGAGACACTGGTGGTGAGTCACTGGTACAGAGACACTGGGTAGTGAGACACTGCTAGTGAGACACTGGGTAGTGAGACACCGGGTAGTGAGACACTGGTGGTGAGTCACTGGTACAGAGACACTGGGTAGAGAGACACTGGGTAGAGAGACACTGGGTAGTGAGACACTGGTACAGAGACACTGGGTAGTGAGACACTGAGACACCGGGTAGTGAGACACTGGGTAGTGAGACACTGCTAGTGAGACACTGGGTAGTGAGACACCGGTGGTGAGTCACTGGTACAGAGACACTGGGCAGAGAGACACTGGGTAGTGAGACACTGGTACAGAGACACTGGGTAGTGAGACACTGAGACACCGGGTAGTGACACACTGGGTAGTGAGACACTGCTAGTGAGACACTGGGTAGTGAGACACCGGGTAATGAGACACTGGTGGTGAGTCACTGGTACAGAGACACTGGGTAGTGAGACACTGGGTAGTGAGACACCGGGTAGTGAGTCACTGGTACAGAGACACTGGGTAGTGAGACAATGGGTAGTGAGACACTGGGTGGTCAGACACTGGGTAGTGAGACACTGGGTGGTGAGACAATGGGTAGTGAGACACTGCTAGTGAGACACTGGGTAGTGAGACACTGGGTGGTGAGACACTGCTAGTGAGACACTGGGTGGTGAGACACTGGTGGCGATTGGAGGACATGGGTCAGATCAACTCAATAACAACGGTAGGAGGCTGCTAGATTTTGTGCAGACCATGGGCTTGTAATTACCAACACGCTGTTCCAGCGAAATTGTGGTGTTGATGGTGGCGGTGTGTAACCCCTCACCCAGCCTCCCTGTTCCATGAGCCAGGTCTTGCATGTGGTCAACAGCACAGCGGCCACCGCGTCCGTCAAGGGCCAAGTCTCCTCCGAGTCGCCCAGACGACCGGAGGCCCTCAGGTTCTTGACGAGCAGCGCGCAAAACACCACCATGGACAGCACGCAGCCCCAGCTCATGGGCCCCGCGGTGAGAACCTGCCAGGCCAGGGTCACGACCAGCCGGCGCGGGTCCACTTGCTTCGCCAGCTCCTCCGCGCGCCTCACAAAGTCTGGGATGGAGGCTTCGAACTCCGCCAGCAACGCGTCTCCTCGGGTGTCGAGCGCCTCCTGCAGAAGCTCCACACGCATCCGCACCAGCCGCCGGGAGGTCTGGAGCAGCGAGCGCACCTCCCGGAGCTGCCGCTGTATTTTCCGCGCCTGCCGCTGCAGCTCCTGCCACTCCTTGAACTGCTGCAACTGCTGGAAATGCTCCTGCTGCATTTGGTGCAGCTGCTTGAACCGACGCATCAGCTGCACCTCCTGGAGCTGATACTTCTTCTGCAGCTCCTGCAGCAGCTGCTGCTGCTGCTGCACATCCAGGAGCTGCTCCTGCTGCTGCAGCTGCTGCACAAGCTCCTGTTGCCGCTGCACCTGCTGGAGCTGCTCCTGCACCTGCTGCATGTGCTGGAATTGCTGCTGCCAGAGCTTCTCCATCCACTGCTGCTGCTGCTGCTGCGACAGCAGGAGATGTTGCTGCACCGCCGGGAGCTGCTGCTGCAACTGCTGCAGCTGCTGCTGCAGCCCCTGCTGCAGACCCTGCTGCTGCTGCACAGGATGCTGCTCTCCGTCTGCTGCGTCAGGTGAGCCACGTAGCCGGAGATGAGATCGCCGGTTACGATGGTCAGCAACTGCATCGCTTCATCCTCCTCCTCCTCCTCCTCGCCGCAGCCACCGCCCCTCGCCTGAATCTCTCCCGCAGAATGCGACGCGGCTTGGGCAGAGGCCGCAGGCTGCATGGCGGTGTAGGCCTCAGTGGCGGGTGTTGACTTCGTTGTTGCTGATTCCGCTGCCGCTGTTGCTGTGGGAGGGTCGTTGATGTCGCGAGGCAATTGAGGAGGTAGAGGAGGTAGAGGGGGTAGAGGAGGTAGAGGAGGAGGTAGAGGAGGAGGTAGAGGAGGTGGCAACTTCGCGACTCGATGGAAGCTGTTGGCTTCTACCTCCATTGCGATTTGGTTAACGGTGATGTCGTCGGATCGATCCGTGGATCGATTCCTCCATGCGATTACGTTAGAATCGACTTCGATTGCAAGCCGTCGGTCGATTCTGACCTCGATTCACGATCCGCACGAGGGGGGGGCACAGAGACCCATAGACTACAGAAGAGATAAATAATAAAAAATAATGTAAATAATAATAGAAATAAAATAATAAATCACGACGTACAGGTTTTTTTCTGTGCTTTTTTACACCTGATGAAGGAAGTTTGTGTTGCCTGCGAAACGTCGTGATTTTTTTTATTATTTTTATATTATTTGTATTTTTACCTACGTGACTTTACCGAAAAAACCTACTCCTGGCAGTCACGAAAGCTTCAAATGTAGAATTACTGATAGAGACCCATCGACTATCTAAGTTGTCTTGTGGTTGTTGTTGTTGGTTGTTTGACTTGCATCCCACTGGGATTTTTGCACACAGCGTTGGTGTGTAACGGTGATTTTTTTCTGCAATATTTTGCTGTCTTTTCTTGAATTTTCTGTTTTCACTCAGTCACATAGTCACTTAAAGATGTTTTTTGTTCATGTTTTTGTTTTTTCAGTTTGCACGTAGTCACTTTAAGATGTTTTTTGTTCATGTTTTTGTTTTTTGTTTGTTTTTTCATTTTGCACATAGTCACTTTAAGATGTTTTTTGTTCATGTTTTAGTTTTTTGTTTGTGTTTTCAGTTTGCACATAGTCACTTTAAGATGTTTTTTTGTTTTTTCAGTTTGCACCCGATTCAAGAACCGCATGGCTCACAGGGCTCTACCTAATACATGAACTTGAACTTGACTCACCACACAGAGACCCACAGACGACACCACGCAGACAGCCAATGACACCTGGGGGCTCTGCCCACGTGGTGCTTAAGCCCCGCCCCTTCCTGACACGTGACCCGCGCTGGGCGTGGCCAGACGCTGTCACGTGGGAGCTGCAGTGGAGCCACGTGTCTCTCTGCTGCTGCTGCTGCTACTTGAAGCCGGTACGGTTATAGCAGCAATTGATTAACAGATCACTTGGCTTGACGGGTTAGCGGATCAATTTTGACTTAAAACTTTCCTGACTGCAGGAATTCATATTCTTGGTTCTTTTGGTAAAATCGCGTCGATGGAAAATAAAAAATAAGAAAAAAAATGGAAAATAATAAAAGCAAAACACGCCATTTTTTCAATATTTTATTATAATTTTTTTCTATTTACGTGACTTTACAACAGAAAGAACCAATACTATATATAGGGTTAGCCGATTTCATTCGTTAATCGATTTGTTGTCTGCTGGGATGTTTGCACACAGAGTTGGTGTAACTGTGATTTTTTGTCTGCAATATTTTGCTGTCTTTTCTTGAATTTTCTGTTTGCACTCAGTCACACATAGTCACTTTAAGATGTTTTTTGTTCATGTTTTTGTTTGTTGCGGTTGTACCCGATTCAAGAGCCGAATGGCTCACAGGGCTACACCTAATACATGAACTTGAACTTGCAGTAGTGCAGCTCAACAGGGAGCGGATTCAGCAAGTTGCAGCAGCCTCTTTCGAAGGTGCAGCGACGTCTCTCCAGCAGCAGCTGCAGTAGCAGCAGCAGCAGCATCAGCAGCATCAGCAGCAGCTGCAGTAGCAGCATCAGCAGCAGCTACAGTACACGTGCACAAGTCATTCCAAGGTGGGTTTGTGTGGTGTGTGACTGTGTGTGACTGTGTGTGGGGTGTGTGTGTGTGACTGTGTGTGGTGTGTGACTGTGTGTGACTGTGTGTGGTGTGTGACTGTGTGTGACTGTGTGGTGTGTGACTGTGTGTGGTGTGTGACTGTGTGTGGTGTGTGACTGTGTGTGGTGTGTGACTGTGTGTGGGGTGTGTGTGTGTGGTGTGTGTGTGTGTGGTGTGTGTGTGTGACTGTGTGTGTTGTGTGACTGTGTTTGTGTGACTGTGTGTGTGGTGTGTGCACAAGCATCGTGGTGACCCACCCCCCCGTGTGCCACAGTGCCGGCCTTGATAAGTGCTGCTACTCGCTAACAGCACTTGCCCCCGACAGTCTGTTAGAGGCTATACGGGGGATCTTTGTCTTTGGCAGTGGCGGTGCACAAGGTGCGTGCAGGAGGTGCTTGCAGGAGGCCGAACGGCGCCCGGAGGAGACGCGTCCCACGAAGAGCTTCCATGAAGAAGTGCGGGAGCGAGGCGAGAGAGGGATGGGACCAAGGAATTGTGCGTGGGAGGTCTCGTGAGGGAGGGGAGCGAAGGAGGGGGGGGGCAGATGAAGGTCAGCGAGGGGCAGGAGCTCGGCCTGAGGGGCACGGAACCGGGGCGGAGTCGGGGAGCGGGAGGGGAAGAGGGGAGAGAGAGACGGCGCAGCAACAGTCGAGGGCCAGAGACGCGGCGAGCGAGAGACGCAGAGACGAGGCGGCATGGGGAGCGCGGCAAGAGAGAGAGAGAGACAGCCATCAGAGGAATTTCATTCAACGGTTCTTGAGGCAGAGGCTAGGGGGGTCCGGTTCGGACGGAGCGAGAGAGACGGGGCGAGATGAGGGGAGGGGCAGAGACGTCGCGAGAGATCGGCAAAGAGAAGTGGAGGCGAGGGGACGACAGGAAGAGAGAGAGAGACATCAGAGGGCGCCGAGCCTTCGTCGATTTATAAGCGAGAGGTTAGGGGGATTCAGTTGGGAAGGAGGGAGAGAGACGGGGAGGCAGGGAGGGAGAGAGGACGGGGGCCAGGGAGGGAGGGAGATGGGGGGGCAGAGAGAGAGAGAGATGGGGGGACAGAGAGGGGGAGAGATGGGGGGGGCAGAGAGGGAGAGGGGGGCAGGGAGGGAGAGAGACGGGGGGGCAGAGAGGGGGAGAGAGAGGGGGACAGGGAGGGAGAGAGGACGGGGGGGCAGAGAGGGGGAGAGATGGGGGGGCAGAGAGATGGGGGGGCAGAGAGGGAGAGGGGGGCAGGGAGGGAGAGAGACGGGGGGGCAGAGAGGGGGAGAGACGGGGGGGCAGAGAGGGGGGCAGAGAGGGGGAGAGAGAGGGGGGCAGGGAGGGAGAGGGGGGCAGGGAGGGAGAGGGACGGGGGGGCAGAAAGGGGGAGAGACAAAAGGGCAGGGAGGGAGAGAGCTGTAGATGCCACTGGTTCTTCACATTCTGTAGATGTAGATGCCACTGGTTCTTCACGTTCTGCAGATGTAGATGCCACTGGTTTCTTCACGTTCTGCAGATGTAAATGCCACTGGTTCTTCACGTTCTACAGATGTAGATGCAACTGGTTCTTCACGTTCTGCAGATGTAAATGCCACTGGTTCTTCACGTTCTGCAGATGTAGATGCCACTGGTTCTTCACGTTCTGCAGATGTAGATGCCACTGGTTCTTCACGTTCTGCAGATGTAGAAGCCACTGGTTCTTCACGTTCTGCAGATGTAGATGCCACTGGTTCTTCACGTTCTGCAGATGTAGATGCCACTGGTTCTTCACGTTCTGCAGATGTAGAAGCCACTGGTTCTTCACGTTCTGCAGATGTAGATGCCACTGGTTCTTCACGTTCTGCAGATGTAGAAGCCACTGGTTCTTCACGTTCTGCAGATGTAGATGCCACTGGTTCTTCACGTTCTGCAGATGTAGATGCCACTGGTTCTTCACGTTCTGCAGATGTAGATGCCACTGGTTCTTCACGTTTTGTAGATGTAGATGCCACTGATTCTTCACGTTCTGCAGATGTAGATGCTAACTTCCCTTTGGCACGTGTTTCCTCTCTATTCTCTTGAAATACCCTACTAAGAGATGTCTGCACAGTTGTTCTCTTCATCTCTGCACAAATCAACTTGTGATGGGCAATCGCATCGTTGAACTGCGGTAACGGGACATACGGACAGGTTTGTACGTATCTCTGAAAGTTCCCAAGTCGAATGTTTGTAAGTAGAGGTAGTCCCTGTACTACATCGGGCACAATCTGGGGGCAGGGGTGGGGGTCAGGGAATTGGGTGATGCAACAGATGTTCATTAGGGATAGAGGGTTGGTTGTCCCTGTGGAGCGGCATTGCCGAGGGGACAGGACAGGAAGGGTGGGTCACCCTTGACACGTGAAGGACACGGCTTCGAATCCCGTCTAGTGAGCAAAACGAACAAGACGCCAAGGTCACCGTGAACCGATGTCACGACTCCCCCGCGCTGACGTCATATCGAGTTTCATTTAAGTGACGCCACTATATTTTCAAAACGAGTGTGATTTTTACAGTATTTTGTTTTAAGAACGCGAGGTTGCCACCCGTCCTTGCTTTGATGTAATATCCCTGCATTGATGCATTTCATTTCATTAAATTGATATCACGAGATTGCCACGGTTATCAGTTGTAATTCTTTACGACGCGAGTTTGCGACCAAGATCATCCTCTTATGGAGGTCGGCTCCCGTGGGATATCTCCAAGTCTTCGCAAAAACGTGACTTGGCAAGTCCTGGTTTGTTGCCAGTCGCGTGAAAGTTTGCCACTCAATTAGCGTGCATGCACACGCACAGTCATCCTCCCCCGTCTCTCTTATGCTGTTGTGAATACAGGGGGGGGGAGTGCTTCAAAACAAGTGAAACACTTCTGAGACTTTGCAACAGCAGCAGCACAGGAGAACGTGCTGCCTCCGGCCTCTGGAGACCTGCACCTGTAGAAGATTGCGGGCGCACGTTGACAATGTTGGCAAAGACTCTTCGGCTTTTAAAATTCTTTATATTAAGTTCCTTGCTTGCGCGCTTACGACCGTGCAAACCTTTCGGTCGTTTTTTAACCCACTTCCCGTGATCGAA